TGACTTTTGTTCAAAATAACGCGATTTTTCCGAGGGGATTGACCTCACCTTCCGATACAGAAGCTTGGAATCATTGAGCGGCCACTATAGGTACCTTCGTTTCATTAATGGTGATGAATCAAAGCACTTTTTGCTCAAAAAGCACCATAAATGAGACCAAGAGAACAAGAAGCGTGGTAAACATTCTGGTAATGGACGACATTGTCCACCAAGTTTTAAGGATGGGTATTACATAAATATCTCTGATTATATTGGAAGCAGGAGTGGACCTACATGATTCTAAAAAGGCGAGAAACAAGAAAAAGTTAACCTGAGTTAATTTTGGGTGTTACAACCTGGAGGTATACACCTGAACTACACAAAACAAGCCTTGAAGAGTTCTGAATACAAGAATAAATAATATAGAATTTCTGAAGTGTAAGTGAGTAATATGAAAAGGTAGATTTGATAAATGCATAGACTTTGGTCAAATAATTGGCTAAAAAATATGTTATAATAATAGGAAAAAAAAAGTAGTTGCTTCAACCATTTCCCAAAATTTCATTACCTATTTTTCCAAATGCCTCCATTCTTTCTCTTTCTGAGGGGGAGGACGGAAAAAACAAAGTCTTCACCATTAAAAATTCTAACAAAATTGTGCTTACTTTTACACCTTTTTCTTTTTAAGAGAGGAAAAAACAAAACATCATTAATTTTCTTTATCTGCAAAAAAGCTAGAAAGAAAAAGGAAAAAAGCACGTTTCATACCTCCTCCAAGTAATGGCGAATTTTTTATGAGGTTTGGTTTTTACATATGAAGCTCACCGTTACCGTGTATATTACTCCAAAATTGTAAGCGAATTTTTTACCTATTGGTAAAAAATCAATATAAAAGATTGGCTCAGTTTTCTGCTGTACATGTAAAATTAAAACAGATATTTCGTGTCACCAAGATCAAGTGACTTATTCCTTCTTAGTTGCATTTGAAAATCGCAAGAACTAGTTAGCTTCTTTCTTGGAATTCAATTATGTCAAATTAGACTTTCCTCTAGAATACTTTTTATATTCTGAGAAAATTTTTGACATAAGATCATAGAGTTAAGTCTAATAGTCCTCTTTGGAAAAAAATGTAATGATGTTCTAGTGACAATGCAGCATGAATCTCAAAACAGCTTGCACATAAAGCCTGACAACTGTCTTTTTAGCTGCCAGAGATAAAAAAAACGTGATGACATCAAGACAATTAAGATCAGTACCTAGCCAGTTTCCATGATTTTATGCAGCGTTGAAAGAAAATAAGTAAATTTTAAACGTATGATTGACAATAGACCAGCCTTGTCTGGTCTCTCTACAAATTGAAGATAAAATCATTGGATCTGGCATAAGTAGTTTGTCATAACAGTGCATCAAGACTAGATCATAGTCATCATAAAAATATTTTAAGAATGGACACTGTAAAAAATCTAAATTGAGCTTTCTTCATTGAATTAATGCATGGAACAACGCACTATTCGCAGCTGGTATGAAGTTCTATTCTTTGATTGTGATTTGGTGAAATAATGGAGATAAACGGATTCCCTTGTAGTTTCTAGTCTTACGCTGACTAGTAAAATTTTGTAGTATCACCTAGAGAACTTCCATAGAAAGAAAATAGACACTAAAGGATCCTTGCCCAACTGACTCGGCTGTTATGCGTTTTATGGGTGCCTGAGGGAACATTTCATGCAAATATCTTAAAATGGTTTGCGATGCTGTGAATTTCACTCGAATGAAATGGTACATATATTTAATAGATTTTCGAACCAATTTCATGAATAACAATTAAAAAAATACTTTCGACAAGCCTCTTTACTGCAGCAAGGTTTGCAAAAAGTGCAGCAGGCAATACCTGTCAAAAATTGGCAATGACTACCACTAAACCAAACATTGCAACCATTTTTCTGAATCGTTGAGTGTTATTGGTCCATGTCTATACCCTTTCTGTTAAAGATCTCTAATGTCACCCTTATTATAGCGCTAGCAAGGACTGACAACTGTTTGGAGTGTGCCTGTTTCCAACCAGCTGATTGCAATTTCTTTAGTGAAAGAAAAAGTAAACTGTCAAGAGAAATTTCACGCAGAGAGAAAAATAAAAAGTTAGAGAAAAATTGAGGTTTCATTAAAAAATCTTTAATAATTTTTTATAGCAGTATGTAATTACAAGGATTTTTCTCCTTTAAGTTTTTTCAATTCAATTTCTATTTACAGCTAAAACCGGAGTGATATTCTAAGATATTTAGTTGATTTTAACATCATCAGTGATCACTTAAAACTAAACAAAAAGTAATAACTAGTACATAACTTCAGACAGACACGGGAACTAACAGCGATTATTTTGTTCTGCACTGGATGGATAAAGTATACCACTGGTCAACTGGTTATGTAGGGGACTCTGTCAAGGTAGAGAAAAAGGACACAGTAGAAAAATATTCATAGGCTTTTTCCTTGCACAAGTACGAGCCTTCACTTACAATTTCATCACAGGGTGGCAGGTAATTTTTTATGTTATGAGTTAAGCCGCATATTGCGTGGTTTTTTAATATTGGAAATTAATTTTAGGGACACAGCCAGACCACAGAGTTTTTCACGCATCCACACATTTTGTAAATAAACATTGACTAAAAAACTCCGTTGTCTGGCTATATCCCTAAAATTTAATTCCAAAGGTAATCTTTTCTTTAAATTAGGAAGAGGAGGGCTCAAATATGAATAATCAAAAAACAGAGTTTGAAAAAAATCTGAGGAGAGTGCTGTTATTGAATTCACTACTTTACAATGAAAATATTCTCTGTTGAATTTTAAAGTCATTGGATTCATGATGCTTTTCAATATTTTAAACATACTTTCCTTTTTTCTTTTCAAAGAAGTATTCTTGCGATCATAGGCGTTCCAAAACTAATGGGATGATGCAATAATTTCTTAGGTAAGCCACTGAGAAACTTCATCTTGATTTCATTAGTACATCATGGGTCAGCATCATAGTATCACGAAAAGAACAACACTATTTTGGGCCCATTTTCTCCTACAACTGTCATAATTTGCTGGTGCATGGCCGGTAATTCTTTCATAATTTCTACTTGGAACAACATATTGACTTGTGCTTATAGAGCAATGAGCAAACAGATATGGAGAGAATTAAATCATGATCATACTTGGTTTCGTTTTAAAATTTTACACTGAAAACGATTCAGGCAATGACTCATTCAGAAATCAGCTCACGAGTAAAAACCTTGCAGAGCTTTTGAGGTAAATCATGATACAGGTATGACAGTATTTGGATTTTGCCACTGGACCGATGTTGATAGTGAAATTTTGCCTCAAATATAAGTTGATTTCAAAATTTGTAGGTACACGAATCATTTTCTACCATGAACTTGAACTGATAACCTGTTGTGCAGTACCTCAATGAACACTTCATTTGAATAACGAAATGCGAAGGTTCAGAAAAACAATTAGAAATCACTTGTGCGCATTGGAAAACGGATGCCTACAGTTAAAATCAAACGCTGTCCATCACAAAATGAATCCAATTCTTGTCAACTTAAGGATTTGAGTTCAAGGACAACAGACCGCTCTAACACAGTGCATTTGTGTATATTATGCTGATGTCATTCGCAACAAGCTTAGCACTGATGATTTGATTCCAAAAGGAATTGAATACATGACATTGCAAAAATTTGAGATGTGAGCCACAGAGAATAAAAGACATGAGAGGGGCAGGTGAGTAGGTGAAAACCTTCTGGTAGAATTTTTTTGGATCATAAAGCCCATCACTAGACAATGATAATTTATATTTTTAGATTTTTTTAAAAATTGAAGGAGGCTTCAGCTTCTATTTATCAGAGAAACGACTCATTGGTAAAGGGAGCCATAATGCTTGAGAAAAATCATCAAATCCTGAAATATCATTTGTTAAAAAGTAGCCAGAGACAAAAAAAGATGAACAAGAAAAATCCATCAAAAACTGAGAAACTCGGTGTGGCTTTTACGAACATTTAACCAGTGTCAGAATGTAGGAGTCAAAATCTTAACTTGGTCTCATTGTTTAAAAACTTATGACGACTAGGATAAGATGCTAATTGACAAGGACCAGTTAGTTTGTGCGTTTGCATCCGTCCATCACTTGCAAAACAAAAATTTACAGCTGAGTTCGTTAGATTACAATTGCACACCGGGTAAAATAGGCATTTGTGATTCAATAACGTTTGGTAAGGGTGGAACCACTTGGTTCTAGAGTAAACTTAAACCTTCAAACATTTTTCAACAAATATTCACTTCAATCACATCTGAACAACAGACTAACATGTGAGTGTTTCTGAAATGGGATTTTATAACAAAGTTATCAGTACTGCGTGATAAAAAAATACCAATGAAATAAATAAACTAAGCCGGTAAATTAAGAAGAAACAAGTGGAAACCTTTGCATAAAAATTACAATAACTAGAGGAGAAATAAGTAAAAATAACGGTACAAGTTAGGCAGAGGAGTAGTAGGCATCTCTGGAATAAAATCTTGACAAAATAATTAAAAATCCTAAGTAATTTCAAACGGAATACAAAGAAGGAGAACAAAAAGGTACACATGAACGACTACCTACAGACTGCCAAAATTCTGATGAGTGGAAGAGTTCAGAAAAATTTCTCATTTTAGCCGAAATGGCTGCATTGAAGACTGCTACTGATCCAACAGTATAAGGATCCATCAGGGTAAAAAAGGAGCTAACTTTTATAGATTAGTGGGTGATGACTGGCATTAGCAAGTGATAAACTGTGCACATTTGGTTTCGAAAAAAAAAAAATCCAGAAACACCAGCAGCAGCCCTCTAGTGTCAGCGGGTATTACATTCATACCAATTCCTTCAAAAGGTACCAATGTTCAGTTCTGCGATTATGTCATTCTGTTTGATATCTTCTTTAACAGCGTTAGCATCCATACATCTCTCTATTCAAATTGCGAAAATGTGTTGAAATTCTGCAATTTACATTACGAGAAAAGAGGAATTGAGGGGTAATGAATGGATACTTCAACGATACAGGACACCTGATTTAGAAAGAATATAAAATTTCAAAAGTAGCAGATTGGGATACCCGTCTAAATTTTTAAGGAGGAATGAAACAAATAATTTTACTCTCTTTTTGATTGTATTAAATAAAATAGGATGATACCAATTTAAGAGGATTTGTTTTGAAGACTCTTTCCCGTTTTGATGATGACAAGACGCAGGGAAAAAGCTACATCAGACAGAAGCCTAACTTGAGCAGTTTCAGTCCAAGTTCTAATGGTATGCTTGAACTACAGATTCTCACTTTGGTCCTCAGATTGATCAAATTTGAATGCAAAAAATGCACAAATCCTGTAATCGATGTTTAAAGTTCGAAAGGAGGAACTATGTCTAATTAGCTAGAAAGAGTACCCCTGAACTATTCACCTTAGAGCTGTGAGATGGGAGGGTGAACAAAATTCACAATGCTGAACCGACAAAAAACGCTGAGAGCACAAAAGAAAATCCTTGTCAAACTACCGGCATGAAATTCTGAACACAATAGTATTAATTGAGGATAAAAACATGGAAACAGTTCAGTTTTTCAGAAGAAGGAAAGACAAGTAGAGTGAGATAGAACCGTGATAAGAACTAACAACTGAGTATAAAACAAGGTATTACGACAAAGTGCTTATTGTAGAAATTTTCGTCTGGATCGCAGGTTGCTGTTCAAACTTGAATGCATTTAATGTGCTTGATTGGTATTGACTGAGGAAGAGGTAATGCTTAACTACGAATGTATGAAAAATCATTGCTAAGTGCATAAAACAAATTACACGAGTCGAAAATTGAAAGAAAAATGGATTTGTGCAAACACTTCCAAGCCTCAGAAGACAGAGCGCACGACAACTGGAAGAAGGTATACTTACAAAACTAGATTACATTTAATGATATATCTTCATATCCATTATTCAATAGATTATAATCAAAATAAAACTGATTTATACATACATTCAATTTTAAAATTTAACAACAATTAATTATTAACGGTGAGAAGTGGCTCAGCAGCTCAGAACATAGCAACGCGCAGAATGGCTGACATGACACAAGCCTGCACGATGTACACGGTAAATTGATAAAATATTTACACGCACCTGGTCACGATGCTTGGTTCAATATAAACAAATCAAGCTAATACCTTCCAATAACAGCTTTTATAAAAGTTTACACAGGCTTTTCTTCTTTTGTTTCTGCTTTTTCTCCGGGGATTTTTTATTAACTTGTCGCACTAGGTCAAAAAATATCTGGAACAAAGATGATGATACATGATTAAAATACTTGACAGAGGAACAAGAATGTATAATGGGTAGAATTTTTTTTTTTAAAAAAACAAAACCAAAAGCAAAATTAAACTTCTGTCAAACATTTATTAGCAGTCTTTAGGAGATAGAACCACTCTACTATTAAAGCGCTCACTTGGTCTGTTCGGTGGCCAGCGCAAGATCGATTTTGGAGTTGGGAGGAAAACCGTTCAAAAGAACAAGACTGATCTCAATGATTTTTATGGCTCCTGAGAGTCATATGAGAATGATTCAGCACTGGAAAATTTTAGACATTGGCTTAAGCTACTGTTATCATGGTTATATAGATCGCATTTAGCAAAAAGGAACCAACGCGATTAATGTTGTAAAAATGTTGCTTCTTCATGGTTATTTAAAAAATCTCCCAGAATAGCAAATAGGTTTTGCTTCGCAAATAAAAAATTTTTGATATCAAAGGTAAATAATTGTATAAATTTCAATACTATAGAGTATAGAGTATTTTTAAAAGAAAGGAAAAGGCTGCACGATTTTGAAAGAACGGATATTGCACTGGTTCCTTTTTGCTAAATGCGATCCATATGACCTATTTTTACCTTAGATTTCCTTGACTCCCATATCTATCATTTCCTTGTAGAGTACAGAAAAGTTGAGACAGAGTGGAGACCATCAAAATTTATGCTTTTTATCTTCTGATCTATTACCTCAAATATTATGAAAATGAATTAAAACAAGAAAGTAAAAATATATGCATGAGACCCATCCTCTAAAGGTACAAAAATTACAATAGAAAGATATACTTACATCATAAACATTTATTTTTGCTTTGGCAGATGTTTCCATAAACGCACAATTGAACTGTCTTGCAAGATTGACACCTTGATCTTTCCCTACTACACGTTCATCTTCTAGGTCACACTTGTTGCCGACGAGCACCATTGGTACATCATCTGTATCCTGGAAACAGATAAAAATATGTCGTAAATTTTGAGGTTCTGTCAAGTAAATTTCAGGGAAACAAAACGTTCAGAGCATGGGCCATTCAGATACTTCCTAGAGGAGTCAACTACTGTAGGTCTTTATTTTGTTCAAGTCAAAAAATGTCAAAATCTATCAGCTGGGATGCTAGTGAGCTATCTTGATTATTTTTATTTTTACCAATATCATCACCTTCCGGCCAACACATCACGAGCTCCATTTACGCGTAGACTTTGTGTTGCCGGACTTCCCAATATTGTCTTACGCTTTTCTTCAAAAATGTTGCACATACTTTTTTGAAAATTTAAAGAATTATTCTAGATAAGAAAAGAAATATTTTTTTGATTCCTCCAAAAATCCTTAAAAGACCGCCATTGTGGAAACCGAAAAATAAAAATTCAGAAACCAATGCAAGTATTTGAAAATACCCTACAAGAACCGCTCCCCGACAGCTTCCTGAGGGAAAAGTCTGTTGGAACAAGTGTATTCAAACCCAGAAATACTAGTAGGAGGAAATAGAATTCAGAACAAATAAGTGTACATCAATAGCAGTTATATCTACATATGGTGAAACTCCTGAAGGACGTATTTCGTTTGCGGTGTTATAAAATCTCCACTCTCATTTTATTCTTTTTAAGGGGAGCAAATCGACATCATCATTTCATGAAGTTTTCATAGAAGTTTTTTCGCACAGAGAAGAAAAATAACACAAGATTTCAAGAATTAATATTGAGTAGTTTCCCATAAAAAAAAAAAAAAAAAAAAAAAAAAAAAAAAAAACATGACAGGAAGTCTGAAACGTCGCAAACCATGATACATAGTTTGGGAGTTTCACGATCGATATACTTTTCACGAACTGTATGAACCGACCCTCTGCAATAGAGGTGAAGTTCAATGATACTCGAAGAATCCAAAATCTCTCTGATTCTGGGTGCATAGGTGACACAAAGGTGCTTGTGCCATTCTATAAAAAAAGCATTCTATTTCCAGCAGGCAAAACAATCTTTCATTGCAAGACTTGAACGAAAGTATTAGCTCAAAATATGACAGGAGCTTTAATTAGTATTTGATAGCATATTTGGATGTATTTCTGCCAAACGGAACTATGTGCATTTTAACGTGAGCCCTGTTATGCATTTATTCTTATAGGACACAGGACTCATGTCTTAATACACGTAGTTCCGTTTGGCAGAAATACGTCCATTTACAGGATAATGGATACTTACTTTTACCCTTAAAATTTGTTCCCGTAAGTCTTGCAAATCATTAAACGTTGACTGAGCAGTGATCGAGTAAACTAAAATAAAACCTTGACCAGTTTTCATATAAAGATCTCTCATGGCTGTGAATTGTTCCTGCGAAAAAAAAAGAGGATAATTAGAATTAAGTTGGACATTTCCCCTTGATACGTTGATACTGGAGAGGGGAAAGAATAGTCATATGAAGTGGTTAGAGATCAGGACATGAGTTCAGCGAACAAAAATCAAACATGAAAGCTTAAATTGAAAAGTTTCATTAAAAATTTTGTTCTTATGCAGATTGTGTGATAGTTAACATGTACAAAAAGATATTGCAATCCTAAAGAGTAAAATTCTCAGGAACAGCCGAGCCTCGATAACTCAAAGCTGAAGGAAAGCTAGTTTAATGACTATTTTCGCTAATAGTTTGAAAAATGTTCTTAAAAATTAAAGATTTCGAGACACTTTAAAAATTAGCGGGATACATGACTTTTGAACAGTGAACACGATACGCAAATGGTCAGGAAGACTTCTTTTAATCTTACATGAAGGCTTCTTTACGTTTTGGTTTCATGAAATGGCTTTTTCGGTTGTGATCGTTGTAAAATGCGTCCATAAATTGCAAATTCCATAAGTATATTTGGGACGATCAAGACGGAAAATGCTATTTAATGAAACAAAAATGAAATAAGTCTTCACATGGAGTGGCGTAAATGTGGGGTCCGCAACGCGGCCCAGTCGCCTGCCGGAATTTTGAAATATTTTTTTTAAATTTAATTCCTTGAGCGNGGGGGGGGGGGGGGGGGGTGGCTGCTGGAAATGGAGTCTGCGGGCGAGTCCAAGCTTGGTGAGTTACGCCTATGTTCGCACGAGATGATAATAGGGCTTTGATCCTTTCCACTGGTTTGCGCAATGTACCCACTATTAAACAGTCATGTTTATCACTAATTTTTAAAGTGTTTCGAAATATTACATTTTGGAGAATTTTTTTTTTTTTTTTTAAAAATTATGAGCACATTAACTGGCTGAAAAGAAAGTACACAGAAAAAATGTCATACAAGACAAATGTTGACAAATCTGAGGCTTGTTTTAGTTGGACAATGCGCTCGGTGTAAAAAACGAACGCCTAGGTATGATGAAAAACACGCTATTTTGGCTCAAACACGCCATCAAAAGTGAGTTAGGAAACCTTTCAGTATGTAAAAAGAGTTGTATTATCTAAACCATTATTATTTTCGATTATATTTACAATGTTTTATGTGAGTAGTGACGCCAGATCGTCTCCTTTCGGCCAAAGTATCACGAGCGCCATGCGACGTTTAAAAATTTTCGCTGCCATTTCATTTTTTTACAGAGAAATTGTTCAATGAAGCTGTCCAAAAATTTCATTGAATTTTCTTTGAGCTGCCGATAAACTTCAGTGAAATTTTCGAATAGATTCAACAGACCATTTCTCGGTAAAGATATAAAATGGCGGCGGAAATTTTGAAAAGTCCCCTGGCACTTGTGATACTTTGACTAAAAGTGACGAGATTCCAGAGAGGGTCCAAAAACGGCCCTTATCGCTACTCCTCCATAGAATTTCCCATATAATCTACTTCGTACAGGCAGAGTTAAGAGCCTTGGGTTAAAAAATAGCTGATCTTAAAACTCACCGTTCCAGCAGTGTCTAAAATTTCTAGCATACACTGCTGACCATCAACTTCTACTTGCTTTCGATAACTATCTTCGATTGTTGGGTCGTATTTCTCGACGAAAATTCCTTGTACAAACTGGACTGTTAGTGCCGATTTCCCGACACCCCCGCTTCCGAGGACCACCATCTTATACTCCCTCATCCTATCCTATTATCTGCAACAGAAAATTAAACAAATATACGTTAATAATTACGATGCGATGAACAGATAAATATTCTTAAAAGAAGGGAAAAAATGTGTCCATTCAAAAGGTATTGGTGAAAGACAAAAAATGATGTCTATGATGCATCAAAATGTATCGATAAATCAAAGATAAATCGATATATTGAAGTTAGCATGCCACTTTCTTTACGAAAAGCCCTGACAACCGAGCGTCCGTTAACTGTCATGCTAAATTAGGCAAAACGCCGTATGAACATTCAAGAGGTGCTAAAATTCCTCCAATAAATGTTCATTTTTACAAAAAGTTAAGAAAATTCTCTCTCAAAATTTTTAAATAAATGAGATCTGAGAGTGAATGAAATTCTCAAGAAAAAAAAATGGAGGATAAATATCCAATGATTTCCCAGAAATTTGCATTATATCAAAGGAAATTTGGCAACGGCTAAAAGCTCTTCTTTAGCATGGCAATGTAGTCCGTACCGGTGGTGATTCTTGAAAGTTGGCAACACTGTTTTTTAAATGTATGTAAAATAACAGATTCCTGGTGAGGCAGCTTGCCTCACCTAGAATCGATATTTTTAATGGATTTAAATGCTGGAAAAACAGTGTCGCCAAATTGCAAAATCGCCCCTGGTCCATACTTCAGAGGAAACTGAATGAATAAATAAAAATATATTCAAATGGAAGAAACAGAGAGATTTGAAGATTTGATTCTCCGGGCCGGTAGACACGCATGGCATTTTGGCAGTCGGCGCTGAGAAAGGGAGAATGATGGGGGAGGGGCGGCAGGGAAGGCGGCTTGAGACGAACTTTCGACAAGTGCATTCACACTGACGCATTCGTTGGAAAGTCGCGGGAGGAGTTCAAGTTCGCCTTGCCCCATGCCGACAGCTGCCGCTGCCGTCGAGCAATGATCCGAAAATCACTTGCCTGGGACCAAAATTGAACTACTACTTAATAGATCACTTGAAACTTTTTTTTTTTCAAACGGAAAAAAAATTTTCCTCGCTTAAATGGAAACTTCTCCGCGATTTGGGAATTTTTGTTATCGACAGGAAATTTTTGAAGTAAAAGAGTTTCTATTGGGTATCTATTTGAATTATTATCAGATTTTTTTTTTTTTTTTTTTTTTTTTTTTTTTTTTTTTAAATAATTTTTCTCAGGTTATTATTAATTTTTTTTTCATTCTTCAAGAACAAATTATAGTTCCGACTTGCAAAATTTAGTCCATATTTGTCTTTGTCCTTCGGCACCACTTCACTGAATAAGCTACAAAAAGTGATTCCCTGTTGCAATATATACATTCCAAATTTGACAACTGCGAGCGCATCTTCGGGGCTCAAGATTTTCGGTTCATCGTAGACAGCGACCACATGTTGCGAATATGTTCCGGCGCTGCTACTTTCCAACGATCGACACCCCTCCCCCCCCTCCCCATCCTTCGGACATGGCATGACGTGCCAAGTCAGTTTGGACCGCGTGCCGAAGGATGGTATGGATTCCGGATGACGTGAGAGAGGGTTCCTCTCGCGTTGAACTGTCGTGTTGAGTCAAACAGTTCTCGTTTGGTGATGTCCGCGATTCTGCCTCAGCGAGAGTAACCGAGCTCTCGATGAAATTTCTAGATTTCAAATCCATGTGCGTTTTTCTGCTGTTCCCTGGATTTTCCGTACAGTCAAAACTGAATAGAAAAGACGAGAATCGTGCATAAAAACCATTCGAGCAGACCGAAATTCAAATGGAGTTCTTGCAGTGTCAGAAATTTGTGCTTTGAATACAATGGGTGAAATTGGGTATTTAATGGCACAATTGGACATTTCGCCGTGGGGCAAAGACGCCAGATTGCGGCATGAAATCGGCGTTCCGGAACTTCCTGCACCCCTTAAGTTCGCAGACTTTAACAGGGTGTCTACTAACACAGGCTGGCCAAGAATCAATACTTTTACAATACTTTTTCAATACATTCCCAAGAAATACAGTGCCTCCTCAACGAAAAAATTCAGTACCTTTTCAGCACCTCCATTTGACGACATCCGAAAAATTTCAAAAATTTGTATTCCTCGCTCAAATTGCGACAAAAATGATAAAATATGAAAACAATTCCGAACCTTCTTGCGGAATTTCCGCCCTTTTGCAGAACTTCCGGACCACCCTTAAAAAACGATACTATTTCCGGACTTGTGCTACCGTGCTAAGGAAAAACGCCGTATGAACATTCGAGAGTTGCCAAATTTCATCCGATAAAATGTTTATTTTTGAGAAAAGCTATGAATATTTTCCCTGGAAATTTTCAGGAACTTTGATTCAAAATACGAACAAAATTCTCTGAAAAATATTCATAAGTTTACCAGGAAATTGGAGTTTTATCAAAGGAAATTTGGCAACGCCTGAATGTTCATACGGCGTTCTTCCTTAGCACGGCAGTGTAGACACCCTGCTTTCAGGCGTTTTCTCGACCGGGAATCCCCTTGCTCTCAGGATATACGGTCGACCAACCAGCCGCCCTGAAAATCTGAAACGTTGGACCAATCATCCCGTCGGCGGGGGGTCGTTCCGTTCCCCGCTTTTCACGACTTTTCCGTGATCTGGGCGCCTCTCTCACGCACCGCGCGCCCGAGAAAGGTCGAAGGTTACGGATCCGCGGTGCGCGGGGGGAGGGAACGGGAGTGTACAAAAAACTGGGTCAGGAGGCTGTGCGACCTGTTAGCAAAAGGGGATCCTGCTAATTAGAGCCGTACAACGGATCAGTCACTGTGTGTGTGTATGTTTATCAGGTCGTCGAGGGATGGACGAGGGGGGTGGGGTGTTAGGGCCTTTGTTAGCCATGTTCGCCGATCAGCAGAATTCACTGACACTCGGTGGATCGAGTCATTAAGAGGCACCGGATATTCAATGCTGTAAGTCCTGAGCACCAGAGAAATGCAATATCGACGTTGAAGCTGCAAAATCGCGTAACTCATTTGCGGTGTTTCAAAATATGTGATAAAGGTCATTCGATAACGATTCAAGAATCGACCCGCAGGGCAAGGAGGAGCTCACTTCGGGCTTTCGGAAACGGAGTCCCCCTGAAAATATCACAAGAACCGGCTGAAATTCCCCGAGTTTTCCCTGTTTCCAGCACTGAAAAAAAAAACAAGTTGGATCTAGAGTCCAGACTCTTGAAAACATTGATAAGAAAAAATACTCTTGATTCAATCGGATTTTTGCTTGAATCAAGACGAAATTCGCTTAAATTAAGAGGCTTGGTTCTTGATTTAAGCTAGATTCTGATTGAATCAAAAGTCCTTTTTCTTGTCGATGTTTTTAAGAGTCTGGACTCTAGATACAATGTGTTTTTTTTTTTTCCAGTGAGATTTTTGAAAGCGGGCTGATAATTGAAATGATGGAGAGAGCTATATACAAAGAAAATAAAGGGGGAATGGAGCAGTCCTATTGGCTAAAACGGGTAGTACTTATAGACTAAGAGAAAAAATGATGGTCTAACCATCGAGCCTCTCTCGGATTGCCGTTAAATGGTCTCTTATTTACCTCCTTCGTCCATTGCAGCCACCCGCTTCCGCCAATTGGGTCTCTCCATTTTTTCCTTGTCTAACGGTTTGTCTATTAATTTCAAAAATCAGCCCGCGCAGCACCTTCATTTTTCGAGTTTATCAGATTTTTCGGTTTTCTTCAGAAGTGGCAACTCTAATCCACTTTCGTACATTTAGTTCATTATTTTCAAGTTTTTCACACCCAAAACACCCAGTGTGATTATTCACGAAATAGCGCGTCATCAAGAAGCCTTACGAATGGAGCGAGTGAAATGCCAGGGGGCGTCGGCGTGGTGCGGCGCACAGTGGAGCAAATCGGTGGAAAAGGTTGGACATGGTGTGTAAATTTTAAAAAAAATCTTACATCCAGGGATGCAGATCGTTCTCGGCTCTGCGATTTCCACACCGTCCCGGATTTTGGCCAGAACGTCCACGAGTAGCGCTGATCCAAATTTTGATACATTTGGATAGAGCGTTCTAGTGATAATACAAATGCATACATAAAATACGCCGAGAAAATCAGCTTTTAAAGGAAACACCAACAATAGACCAGAGGAAAATCCGAAAACCCGGGGGAGGAGAAAGTAAAAAAAAATTCTGTAAACTGAAATCCTAAAATTTTTGTTTGAGGTTTTGTCCTATTGTTTTGAACCAAACGATACATCGAATCGCTATCGAACACGGTCTATTATCCCGGTTTTCCAAACGGCCGGGAATCCTATTTCATCAATTTTCTCGTGAAATTCCCATAAAGAAACCCCTCTAAAAATAAAAAATATGACAAACTAAACATCAGAAATGATTCGTTGCCCACTGTGCGGCGGGGAAGCGCGGAAAACCGCAATCCCAATCGAAAGCTCCCACATCGGATTTGGGTTTGGAGCGTTTGAGCGTAGGCTCGGATGAGCAGCGAGCACGGATTACGGTCCGCTCAGCCCTTAACCCCGCCCGCTCCTGCGTCCGCCGCAAATTTCATCAGCGAAACTTAATGGCACGAGCCACGACCCGTCACCTCCGCGCCGCGCTACCGGCTACCCGCCGCACAGCGGATCTAGAGTCCCTCTATACTGAGAGTCAAGACAACAACCCCTCATGGAGCCACGAACGGGAATAAAGATTACACAAATTGAACGTTTTTCGTAATCTTTGATCGGTCCATTCTCAAATTCCTTTCTCCGTTCCCTCTCTCATTCTGCATGTTCCTTGTCGAACCCGTAATTCCTCGGTCCATTCCAGATTATAATTTAGCAACTGGTAAAAATGTAATCTTTATTCCCGTTTGTGACACTGTGGAGGCCTAAAATACGGTAACCAATCAGAGATGGATTCACATTATCTTGACTCTCAGTATAAAGGGATTCTCAGCGGATAGAGTCAACAGGAGAAGCCGGACAAAATTTGGAAACTTGAAACGCTTATAACTTCGTTCATCAAAATTATGAGGTTCTAAAAAGTTTCCATT